TGGTGTAATGTTGGCTTATTACAACTTCTGACTCACTGGTTCAAGTGATTCTCCTGCCTCAGCCTCCTGAGTAGATGAGATTATAGGTACATGCCACCATGCTCAGCTAATTTTGATATTTTTAGTAGAGATGGGGTTTCCCCGTGTTGGCCAGGATGGTCTCGATCTCATGACTATGTGATCTGCCCTCCTTGGCCTCCCAAAATACTGGGATTACAAGTGTGAACCACTGTGCCTGGTCTTATTTTTTATTTTCTGAGATGGAATCTCACTCTGTTGCTCAGGCTGGAGTGCAGTGGAGGGATCTCGCTCACTGCAGCCTCTGCCTCCTGGGTTCAAGCAGTTCTCCTGCCTCAGCCTCCCGAGTAGCTGAGATTACAGGCATGCACCACCATGCCCAACTAATTCTGATATTTTTAGTAGAGACAGGGTTTCATCGTGTTGGCCAGGATTTGATCTCCTGACCTCGTGATCTGCCCGCCTCAGCCTCCCAAAGTGCTGGGATTGCAGGCGTGAGCCACCGTGCCCGGCCCTGTGCTTTTATATGATTGGCAGCATGATAGGTTTGTTGACATCAGCATCACCACAGCGTCATAATGCACTGTGCTAGGATGGCAGTAACCAGCTATGGTCACTTGGTGACAAGAGTTTTCCAGCCCCGTTAGTCTTACAGAGGATCACTGTGCATGCGTTAGGTTGCTGACTGAAATGACATTATGCAGCTGGTGACTGTGTTTAGGTGTTCAATTATTCAAAGACTATTTTCTAGTATGTAGAGTATATGTTTTACATCTTTGTTAGATTTATTCCTTTTTATTTTGATGCCACTGGAAATAAATTTTAAAAGGAAAAATTCTATTTTTTTTTTGAGGTGGAATCTTTTTTTTTTTTTTTTTTTTTTGAGACGGAGTTTCGCTCTTGTTACCCAGGCTGGAGTGCAATGGCGCGATCTCGGCTCACCGCAACCTCCGCCTCCTGGGTTCAAGCAATTCTCCTGCCTCAGCCTCCTGAGTAGCTGGGATTACAGGCAAGCGCCACCATGCCCAGCTAATGTTTTGTATTTTTAGTAGAGACGGGGTTTCACCATGTTGACCAGGATGGTCTTGATCTCTCGACCTCGTGATCCACCCGCCTCGGCCTCCCAAAGTGCTGGGATTACAGGCTTGAGCCACCGCGCCCGGCCACACAATTTTTTTTTTTTTTAAGACAGTTTTGCTGCTCTTGCCCAAGCTGGAGTACTCACTGCAACCTACGCCTCCTGGGTTTAAGCAGTTCTCCTGCCTCAGCCTCCAAATACCAAAGATTACAGGTGCCCACCGCCCACCACCACGCCTGGCTAATTTTTAAATTTTTAGTAGAAAGGGGGTTTCACCATGTTAACCAGGCTGGTTTGTTGCTTTTATCAGGAAAGGGTGTTGGAGTTTGCCAAATGTTGTGTGATCACATGGCTTCTGTCCTTTTCTCTAGTGATGTGGTGTGCAGGCATCCCCAGATCAGTTCTAGGTGTGGTGATTTCACCAGGAGTCACAGGACAGCCTGTCATTATACTCTTAAGATTTACTATGGTGGAAAGATGCGACGTAGAATTCTCGACAGGTAAAGGCAGGTGGGGTGAAGTCTGGAGGAAACCAGGTACAAGCTGCCAAAGTCCTGCCCGCCTGCAGTCATGCAGAATGCGCCTAATCCTCCAGCCACAAGCTGTGACATGTGCAGGGGTTTTATTGGGGGTTGGTCATGTAGGTACATTGTGCCTGGGTGACTCAATATGGTCACAGAAATTCCAGACTCAGAAGAAAAGCAAATGTTCAGCGAATCTCACATGATTTGTACAGAGAAGACTGAGCAGTTGTTACTTAGGAATACCACTGTATCCACGTAGGCGCGCTCCAGTAAAGTTACAGATGCCGGCTGTGTGCGGTACTCGTATCTGTAATCCCAGCACTTTAGGAGTCCAAGGTGGGTGGATTACTTGAGGTCAGGAGTTTGAAAGCAGCCTGGCCAACATGGTGAAACCCCGTCTTTACCAAAAATACAAAAAGTCAGCCATGTGTGGTGGTGGGCACCTGTAATCCCAGCTACTTGGGAGGCTGAGGTTGCAGTGAGCCAAGATCATGCCACTGCACTCCAGCCTGGCCGACAGAGTAAGACTCCATCTCAAAAAAAGTTCCTGGATGCCAGAGGTGAACCTTGCACACAGGCTGTTCTTAGGGCAGCATCTCAGGCCTGCTGTGTTAAGTCTGATCTGTACATATGGTGTATTACATGAATTGGTTTTGCATGTGAATGAATTCCTAGGAGAAATCTTGGTCGTGGTATATAATCCTTTTTTAGGTTGCTGGATTCTGTTTGCTAGTATCTTCTTGAAGATTTTGTATTCTATATTCCTAAGAAATACTGATCTGTAGTTTTCTCTTTGTGATTCCTTTGCTTGGTTTTGGTATCAGGGTGATACTGGTCTTATAGAATGAGCTGGGGCCAGGTGTCGTGGCTCATACCTATAATTGCAGCTCTTTGGGAGGCCAAGGCAGGTAGATTGCTTGAGACCAGCCTGGGCAACATGGCAAAACCTTGTCTCTACTAAAAATAGAAAAATTAGCCAGGCATGGTGGTGCGTGCCTGTAGTCCAGCTTCTCAGGAGGCCGAGGTTGCAGTGAGCTGAGATGATGCCACCACCCTCCAGCCTGAGTGTGAGAGGGAGACCCTGTCAGAATGAGGTCCATAGTAATGTCCCATCTTTCATTCCTGATTTTAATATTTTCAGTACTCGTTCAATTTTTTTGATCTTTAGCTAGAGCTAAATATTTCTCAGTTTTCTTGATCCTTTTACATTTCTTTCCTTCTGCTTTAGTTCTTTTTTCTAATTTTTGCTTTTTTTTCTTGTAGAGATGGGGTCTCACCCTGTTGCCCAGGCTAGTATGGAACTCCTGGGCTCAAGTGATCCTCCCATCTTGGCCACCCAAAGTGCTATGATTACAGTTGCAAGCCCCTGTGCCCAGCCCTATTTATTCATTCCGAGACGGGCTCTTGCTCTGTCACCCTGGCTGGCAGCGGTGGTGTAATCATGCCTCACTGCAGCCTCGACCTCCAGGTTCAAGCGCTACCACCAGCACATGCTACCATGTCTGGCTAAGTTTTTTTTTTTTGTTTTTTTTGTTTTTTTTTTTGAGACGGAGTTTCATTCTTGTTACCCAGGCTGGAGTGCAATGGCATGATCTCAGCTCACCACAACCTCCACCTCCTGGGTTCAGGCAATTCTCCTGCCTCAGCCTTCCGAGTAGCTGGGATTACAGGCACGCGCCACCATGCCCAGCTAGTTTTTTGTATTTTTAGTAGAGATGGGGTTTCACCATGTTGACCAGGATGGTCTTGATCTCTCGACCTCGTGATCCACCCGCCTCGGCCTCCCAAAGTGCTGGGATTACAGGCTTGAGCCACCGCGCCCGGCTCTGGCTAAGTTTTTGATTTTTTTGGTAGAGACGAGGTCTCACTATGTTGCCCAGGCTTCTTCCTTTTTAGTGTTTTAGATACAGATTTCTCTCCAAGCATGGCTTTCAGTGAAGCCCGTAAGTTGTGTCTCCATTTTCATTTATTTCAAAGTATTTTATAATTATCTTCTTTGGCTCATTGTTTTAAATTACAGACAGGGTCATGCTCTGTTGCCACAACTGGTTTCAAACTCCGGGGCTCGAGTGATCCTCCTGCCTCTGCCTCCCAGAGTGCTGAGGTTATAGGCGTGAGCCACTGTGCCCAGCCTGACTCACTGGTTTCTTATACATTTCTTTTTGATTTTTTTTTTTTTTTTGGTCATTCGCCTGGAGTGCAGTGACATTATCTTAGCTCACGGCAACGTCTGCCTCCTTAGTAGCTGGGATTACAGGCATGTGCCATCACACCTGGCTAATTTTTGTATTTTTAGTAGAGACGGGGTTTCACTATGTTGGCCAGGCTGGTCTCGAACTGCCAATCTCAAGTAGGTATGAGCCACTTCGCCCAGCCCTAAAAGGACTGAAATCATACAAAGCATGTTCTTTAACCACAATGGGATATTAGAAATCAACCACAAGGCCGGGCAAGGTGGCTCATACTTGTAATCCCAGAACTTTGGGAGGCTGAGGTGGGCAGATCATTTGAGGTCAAGAGTTTGAGACCAGCCTGGCCAACATGATGATAGCCCGTTTCCACTAAGAATATAAAAATTAGCCGGGCGCGGTGGCTCAAGCCTGTAATCCCAGCACTTTGGGAGGCCGAGGCGGGCGGATCACAAGGTCGAGAGATCGAGACCAACCTGGTCAACATGCTGAAACCCTGTCTCTACTAAAAATACAAAAAATTAGCTGGGCATGGTGGTGCATGCCTGTAATCCCAGCTACTCAGGAGGCTGAGGCAGGAGAATTGCCTGAACCCAGGAGGCAGAGGTTGCGGTGAGCCGAGATCGCGCCATTGCACTCCAGCCTGGGTAACAAGAGCGAAACTCCGTCTCAAAAAAAAAAAAAAAAATTAGCTGGGTGTGGTAGCACACGCCTGTAATTCCAGCTATTGGGGAGGCTGTGGCAGGAGAATCACTTGAACCTGGGAGATGGAGGTTGCAGTGAGCTTAGATCAAGCCAGTGTACTTCAGCCTGAGCAACAAAGACTCCATGACCCAAAAAAAAAAAAAAGGCACCTTGCCTTAGGGCCTGGCTGTGATTGACCCTGGAGAGCATTCCACATATCTTGATATCTTGAGAACTTGAATTCTGCTGCTGGCAGCTGCCCTCTCGATCTCTCTCTGGGTTACTCACTTTGGGGGATGATGGCTGCCATGTGAAAGACACTCAAGCTGCCCCCAGGAGGGTTCCCTGTGGTGAGAAGCAGCTCTACCCGCCCACAGCCATGAGGCAGTAGATACTCCAGGTGGCTGCCACCCCGGCTCACAGCTTCTATTCGTCCCAGCCTAGCCATTCCTAGCATGTTGACCCACAAAAGCTGAGACGGCATCATTAGATAACCAGTACAATTACCCAGAAAGCGGCTGGCCTTCAGGAGAACATGACTTGAAGCACAGTTGAACTTGGATCTTTTCTGAGAAAAAAAAAAAAAATGAAAACATGAATTAAGGCCATGAAGTTAAAGACAACCAGGTGAAGGGTGCTGGGAATTCAACATGTCAAGCTGCCTGACCCTGGAAACATAAGCTATTTGAGATCTTAAGAGTCAGTCTTCAGCTGCTGTCATAGAAAGTAATGGGAGTCAACTAGACATCAAAGACAGGAGGCCAGGCCCCCAGCACAGCTTCTTGTTTAAACCCAGTAGTGGCTTTCTCAGCCAGGCACAGTGGCTCACGCCTGTAATCCCAGCACTTTGGGAGGCTGAGGCAGGAAGATCACCTGAGGTCAGGAGTTCAAGACCAGCCTGACCAACATGGAGAAACCTCATCTCTACTAAAAGTACAAAATTAGCTGGGTGTGGTGGCGCATGCCTGTAATCCCAGTGACTGGAGAGGCTGAGGCTGGAGAATCACTTGAGCCTGGGATTCGGAGAGTGTGGTGAGCCGAGCTCACGCCATTGTTCTCCAGCTTAGATGAGAGGGAACTCCATCTCAAAAAATAAAAATAGAAAATAGTGGCTTTCTCAAATCCTTTTTTCAAAAAAATTTTTTGTACAGATAGGGTCTTATTCTGTCACACAGGCTGGATGGCAGTGGTACGATCATGGCTCACTGCAGCCTCTACCTCCTGGGCTCAAGTGATCCTCCCCCTCAGCCTCCTGAGGAGCTGCAGCCACAAGCATGTGCCACCACACCCAGCTGATTTTAGAAATGTTTAATTGTGGGGCCAGGCGTGGTGGCTCACACCTGTAATCCCAGCACTTTGGGAGGCCAAGGCGGGTGGATCACGAGGTCAAGAGATCGAGGCCATCCTGGTCAACATGGTAAAACCCCGTCTCTACTAAAAATACAAAAAATTAGCTGGGCATGGTGGCGTGCACCTGTAATCCCAGCTACTCAGGAGGCTGAGGCAGGAGAATTGCCTGAACCCAGGAGGCGGAGGTTGCGGTGAGCCGAGATCGCGCCATGGCACTCCAGCCTGGGTAACAAGAGTGAAACTCCGTCTCAAAAAAAAAAAATTTTTTTTAAATTGTGTTTTAGAGACAAGGTTTCACTACGTTGGCCAGGCTGGCCTCAAACTCCTGGGCTGAAGCGATCCTTGTGCCTTGGCCTCCCAAAGTGCTGGGATTACAGGGGTGACCCACTGTGCCTGGCCAGCTGAATTTGTTGTTCTGAGACAGTCTTACTCTGTGGTCAGGCTGCAGTGGCACCGTGTCGTACTTCGGCCTGAGTGACACCCTCCACCTCTGCCTCCCGAGCAGCTGGGATTACAGGTGTGAGCCACACCTGGCTGGCACAGATTTTCAATAAAATTCTTATAAATGTGTAATTTGTATGTGCACACAAGCACAGTCTCCTCCATGGGTGCTGGGCCTGGGGCATCAGTTCTGAGGGGTAGGAGAAGAAGATGCCCCCTGTCGGTACCTGGGTCCTCCTGCTGTGCTGTGCTGGGGAGCCGTTCCCGCTGCCTCAAGGCCTCCAGGCCCACCAGGTCGGGCTGGTGGCAGTGGCTGCGCATGACCATGACCCGGTCGCCCTGGGTGATGGCGCGGCTTCGGCAGCCCAGCCGAGCCTGGTCCCGGCACATCCAGTACACCTTCTCCCCGGCTGCCTTCTCCTTCCTGTAAAGGAAGGACTCGTGCACCAGGAACCTGCCCCCGAGAGAAGTCCTCAGGAACTCCAGGGGCTGGAGGGGTTCTGAAAGAGAAAGTGACGCTGTGAGTGGGGCCTGGGTGTCAGGGTTGGGGGTCTACTTCATGCCCCGAGCCGGCCCCGTAGGGGTCCCTGCCCTCCTCCCCTCTGCCTGCTCCTCCAGCCCCAACTCCCATACTGGCTATCTCTTTCCAGGGACTCGGGGGATGCCTGGGCAGGTGGCCTGGCAGCCGCTGGACCCTGAATGCTCCTGGAGGCCTATCCTGACCCCTCAGACCCATCCCCCAGCACAGGGACTGGGCACCAAGGCCTCCTGGCTCCCTGTCCACATACCCCTCAGCCAGTGGATTTGGACTCTTTTAACAATTGTACTGAAAGGTCACATGATGTTGTGGCGGCCAGAGAGAATCCTGTGAGACTGGAAGCAGTGGGGGTGGCACGGGGGTAGACAAAGGGTGTCCAGGGTCCACCCTGTGGCCCCTCAGTAGATACGAAGCACTATCTACAGCTGCTGATGCCACTCCCGGCCGCCACCCCCAGCTGCCACCCTCTTCCTCTAGAGAGCTGAGTGGGTTTCTACCCCGACAGCAAGTCGCAGCAGAGGGCCAGCAGCAGGAGTTTACGGCCCAGGCTGCTGGACCACCGTGTATAACACACACACCATGTCCCACAGCCAGCGTGTCACGCACAGGTTCCTGGAGACCAGGGTTACCGAGCCTGCCTGTACCTGGGCCGTCCCAGTGTGCCAGATTGGGGAAGTGCTCCCGCTGCCGCAGGGCCTCAAGGCCGCCCAGGTCTGGCGGGTGGCAGTGCCTGCGCATGACCATGACCCGCCGGCCCTGGGTGATGGCGCGGCTGCGGCAGCCCATGCGCGCCTGGTCGCGGCAGGTCCAGTACACCTTCTCCCCGGCCGCCTTCTCCCGCCGGTAGAGGAAGGACTCGTACACCAGGAAGCTGCCCCCCAGTGGCGTCTTTAGGAACTCAGGGCCTCCTGTTGAGAAATGGGAGAGGCAGTGAGGGCAGGCGAGGGAGGAGCAGAGGACACCAGCTCTCAGAGCAGAGATCAGCAGGGCAGGTGGTGACCCCACGACCACACCCCCTCCTCACAGTGAGGTGGCCCCGCAGCCCAAGCCACAGATGCCACCATCCCCCCCAGCTCTGCTGGGGTCCCCCTCCGGGGGCTGGGGACTGGTTAGTGAGGCCCCACCGCACGACGCTTGCAGGGAGACTGTGTGCTGTGCCACACTTGCCCGGCGCCCGCCCTGGTTAGCACGAAGGGTGTGCTGTGCCTCGTTGCTCAGAGGAATGACCCAGAGCCTTCGGGGACAAAGCAGCTCAGGATCTGGATAGGGCTGAGAGGGGTTGCCCCTGAGAGCCAGGCAGGTGGAGATGTGACCCAAGGGCTGTGGGCAGGAAGCAAGGGAGCAGGGCCCACTGTCCTGGATGTGGTGAGGGCAGGACCCTGGGGGTTGGCTGTGCCTTGCCCAGAGGATGCCCTTCCCTCTGTGCAGGGACAGGGGCCACAGAGGCGAGGAGGCAGGCTGGGGTGTCTGGGGAACATCACGTACTAGTGAGAGCAGGGGATGAGGGTGGGTAGCACGCCCTAGAGGAGGAGGGGACAGAGGGTGGGAGGCATCTGGCTGTGGAACCACCCTCAAGAGGGATGGAGAGGGCTGGGCAGGGGCGACACAGAGCAGGAAGACTTGGAAGGGGGAGGACCCTGCAGGGCACAGCAGCACAGGAGTCTGGGGACAGAGCCCGCCAGAAGGAAGGCAGGGATCCCAGACACACTTCACCCCCTTCCACATGTGAGGAAAACATCCAGCAGGGGGCTGGGTGTGTTGGCTCAGCCTGTAATCCCAGCACTCTGGGAGGCCAAGGTGGGTGGATCACTTGAGGTTGGGAGTTCAAGACCAGCCTGACCAACATGGAGAAACCCCATCTCTACTAAAAATACAAAATTAGCTAGGTGTGGTGGCACATGCCTGTAATCCCAGCTACTTGGGAGGCTGAGACAGGAGAATCACTTGAATCTGGGAGGCTGGGGTTGAAGTGAGATTGTGCCACTGCACTCCAGCCTAGGCAACAGAGTGAGACCTGTCTCAAAAAATTAAATTGGCCGGGCGCGGTGGCTCAAGCCTGTAATCCCAGCACTTTGGGAGGCCGAGGCGGGTGGCTCACAAGGTCAAGAGATCGAGACCATCCTGGTCAACATGGTGACACCCCATCTCTATTAAAAATACAAAAAATTAGCTGGGCATGGTGGCTCATGCCTGTAATCCTAGCTACTCAGGAGGCTGAAGCAGGAGAATTGCCTGAACCCAGGAGGCGGAGGTTGCGGTGAGCCGAGATGGCACCATTGCACTCCAGCCTGGGTAACAAGAGCGAAACTCCGTCTCAAAAAAAAAAAAAAAAATATGATTTGAAAAAAAAGTGAAGTATCAGACGGTACTGCAAAAATGACCTCTCAGGCCAGGCAGGGTGGCTCATACCTGTAATCCTAGCACCCTGGGAGGCAGGTAGATCACCTGAGGTCAGGAGTTTGAGACCAGCCTGGCTAACATGGTGAAACCTGTTTCTATCTATTTATTTAGAGACGCGGTTTCACCATGGCCAGGATGGTCTTGATCTCTTGACTTCGTGATCTGCCCACCTCGGCCTCCCAAAGTGCTGGGATTACGGGCATGAGCCACTGCATTTGGCCTCGAAACCCTGTTTCTACTAAAAATACTAAAAATTAGCTGGGTGCGGTGGTGGGTGCCTGCAATCCGAGCTACTCGAGAGGCTGAGGCAGGAGTATCGCTTAAACTTGAGGTGGAGGTTTCAGTGAGCCCAGATCTCATTATTGCACTTCCAGCCTGAGGAACGAGTGAAACTCCTTCTCAAAAAAAAAAAAAAAAACCACACACACACACACACACACACACTAGACACTGTGTGTGTGGGGGGGTCAGGGCCAACTGCATGGATGAAGATGGAGACAGTCATGACTCACGGGCCAGCCTTTCCGGACATTAATGTGTGCCTATGGAACTGCTGGCCCCAAGGAGAAGCTGCGTGCATGTCAATATCACCTCCTCAAACCTTAGGACAGGCTCACACCGTAGCAACACGAGGCTGACCGTGTGCAGTCACTGGCCTCTATTAACACCATGAACTCTTTAACAGGAGGAGGAGGGCAGGGAGGTCTAGATCTGCTGTGGCTACTGTGGGGCAGGTTGGCCAGAAGGGTGAGGCTGGGCAGGAAGGTGGGATCCCACCATTGAAAGCAGAACCAGGAGGGCCGAAGAGGCCAGGCCATGGGTCCTTCTGGGATGTTCAAAGAAGGGAACAGGACATTTGCCAGCAGGATGTGCAGGGTTGAGGGGGAAGGGCAGCATGGGCTCCTGCCTGCTTCCCGGGGCCCAGCTCCCCGCCCATCCCCAGGTACCTGGCCTCCCCAGCTGCGCCGTGTTGGGGCGTTTCTCCCGCTGCCTCAGGGCCTCCAGACCCCCCAGGTCGGGCGGGTGGCAGTGGCCACGCATCACAGTCACCCGCCGGCCCTGGGTGATGGCGCGGCTCCGGCAGCCCATGCGCGCCTGGTCCCGGCAGGTCCAGTACACCTTCTCCCCGGCCGCCTTCTCTCGCCGGTAGAGGAAGGACTCGTATACCAGGAAGCTGCCCCCCAGGGGCGTCTTCAGGAACTCAGGGCCTCCTGGGGAGATTGGGGAGGCCATCAGGGGAGGAGGCAGGGGCTGGGCAGGCCTGATTCCACCCACTTCCCTCCCTGGACCTCTGGAAGCCAGAGTCAAGGCAGGGCCCGCGAGCCCCAATGGGAGGAGGCTCACCAGGGTCTGCGTCCATGCCCTGGTCCGCGTCTGGGGATACTTCGGGGGCTTGGGGCTGGGTTGGCAGCTCCTGGTCCTCGAGCTTTGCTCGCTTTCTGGGCCGGGGCCTGGTCAGAGTCAGGGGACCAGGGCCCCTGCGGTAGAGCAGACTGTCCACGCCTCGAAGCAACGTGTCCACTTGGCTCCCAGGGCCATCCTGCCCAGCCTGAAGCGTCTCCACGGCCTTCTCCTGCTGCCGCCGGGCCTCCAGACCCTCCACGTCGGGCGGGTGGCAGTGGCCACGCATCACGGTCACCCGCTGTCCCTGGGTGATGGCGCGGCTCCGGCAGCTGTACAGCGCGTGGTCGCGGCAGGTCCAGTACACCTTGTCCCCGACGGCCTTCTCCCGCTTGTAGAGGAATGACTCATGCACCAGGAAGCTGCCCCCATAGCACGTCCTCAGGAACTCGAGGGGCCGGGCCTGTCCTGGAGGAGGGACTCATGGGGTCACAGCCCCCAGGGGTGGGGAGGAACCCAGGATGGGGCAGCCACTGCAGACTCTCGGGGCTCACACAAGCCTTTCTCCTTTATGGCTGAAATTTTCTCTGGCCTCTGGAGCCAGATGTGCCAGAGCCCCCAAGCCCACTCCCACTGAAACCCCACCACCCAGCAACCCAGTAGGGGTCTCATTCCTTTCCTAGTGGTCAGTGAGGTCGTCCCAGGGCATGGCTGTTACGTGCTGCGTCAAGGTCACACTTGGAGGGCCAACCCGGACTTGGACTCGGGGGCCTCTGCTCTCTGTCACTCCTGCTCATGTAATTTTTTAGGATTTAAAATTTTTTTTCTTTTTTGCTCTGGCTGGGTGTGGTGGCTCACAGCTGTAATCCCAGCACTTTGGGAGGCCAAAGCAGGGGGATCATGAGGTCAGGAGTTTGAGAGCAGTTTGGCCAATATAGTGAAACCCCATCCCTACTAAAAACACAAAAATTAGCTGGGCATGGTGGCAGGCACCTGTAGTTCCAGCTACTTGGGAGGCCAAGGCAGGAGAATTGCTTGAACCCAGGAGGTGGAGGCTGTGGTGAACTGAGATCATGCCACTGCACTCCAGCCCGGGCAACAGAGCAAGACTCCATCTCAAAAATATTTTTTGAAGTATCCATGTTTGAATACTACATGTTATAATACACTCAAATGGCTCCAAAAGATCACAGTGAAAAATAAGTCTCCCTCTTCCTCGCCTCTCCCTTCCCGCCCCAGGCACACCAGGGCACTGGCCTCAGCAAATCCTTAAAGCCGTGTCCGGAAGTCCCTGGCCTCCTTGAACTCAAGCCCACCTCCTAGTTACTGGTCATAGAACACCCAGAACTCCCATCTGCCACTTGCCAAGCCCCAAATGTACAATTTAAACAATCCAGGTTATCATAGCAGGCTTAAGATAAAGCACCTGAAACTCAATAAATTAAGCCCATGTTCTTTATTTTTTTTTTTGAGATGGAGTTTCGCTCTTGTTACCCAGGCTGGAGTGCAATGGCACGATCTCAGCTCACTGCAATCTCTGCCTCCTGAGTTCAAGCAATTCTCCTACCTCAGCCTCCCGAGTAGTTAGGACTACAGGCGTGCGTCACCATGCCCAGCTAATTTTTTGTATTTTTAGTAGAGACGGGGTTTCACCATGTTGACCAGGATGGTCTCGATCTCTTGACCTCGTGATCCACCTGCCTCGGCCCCCGCAAAGTGCTGGGATTATAGGTGTGAGCCACCGCGCCTGGCCATGAAGCCCATTTTCTAAGGCTACAGAGCTACCATCAGGCAAGGCTGGGATTTCAATCTAGAACCCAAAACCCAAGACTGTCCCACTAGGTGTCTTTCCTGAACTTAATGGACAGCAGACTCGCCTGGGGAACCAGACACAATTCTGATCTGAGTCACGGTCTCACTCTTGTCTAGGCTGGAGTGCACTGGCACGACCCCCACTCCCTACAGCCTCAATCTCCACGGCTTAAGTGATCCACCCACCTCAGTCTCCTAAGTGGCTGGGACCACAGGCACACATCACAACACCTGACTGAATTTTTGTAAATGTGAAGTCTCACTACATTGCCCAGGCTGGTCTTGAACTCCTAGGCTCAACTGATCCTCCTGCCCCAACCTCCCAAAGTGCTAGGATTATAGGCATGAGCCACTGTGCCCAGTCCACATTTACATATGCACACTTTTTTCTATGAGACCAAATCTTGCTCTGTTGCCCAGGCTGGAGTGCAGTGGCACAATCATGGCACACTGCAACCTCCACCTCCCGGGTCCAAGGGATCCTCCTGCCTCAGCCTCCAGAGTCACTGGGATTACAGGCATCTGCCACCACACCTGGCTAGTGTTTCTATCTTTAGTAGAAACAGGGTTTTACCATGTTTCTCAGGCAGGTCTTGAACTCCTGACCTCAGGTGATCCACCCACTTTGGCCTCCCAAAGTGCTGGGAGTACACCATACCCCAGCCACATTTATAGTTTTAAAAGTTATTTTAGCTTTGAGTACTTTTTTTTTTTTGAGACGAAGCCTCATTCTGTCACCCAGACCTGAGTGCAGTGGTGCAAGCTCCGCCTCCCTGGTTGAAGCAAATTCTCCTGCCTCAGCCTCCTGAGTAGCTGGGACTACAGGTGTGTGCCACCCTGCCCGGCTAATCTTTGTATTTTTAGTAGCGAGGAGGTTTGACCATGTTGGCCAGATGGTCTCAATCTCTTGACCTCATGATCCACCCATCTCGGCCTTCCAAAGGGCTGGGATTACAGGCATCAGCCACCGGGTCTGGCCGGGACCCCACATTACCCCACGTTTCTCTTTGGGCTCAGGACAGGCCCCTGGGTCCCCTGCCCTAGTGGAGGTGGCAGCGGGGTGGAATGCACTCACCCAGCCCCAGGATGGAGCGCTTCTTGGGCGGCAGGCTCAGCAGCGACAGGGTGCGTGGTCCCTCGTCCTCCTCTCGGTCTGCCTTGCTCAGCACCAGCCCAGGAGTGGGCTCCGGCTCTAGCTCCTGGGGGCACTGCCACGGGCCCAGCCCCTCCAGTGGCTCCTCCACTCTGCCTCCAGGGCCCTCAGGACCCTGGGGATCTCCCAAGCCCTCTGGCGGGGCCAGGCTGGGCAGCTTCTCCCTCTGGCGCCGGGCCTCCAGGCCTCGCTCATCGGGCACATGGCAGTGGCCCCGCATCACTGTGGCCCGAAGGCCCCGGGTGATAGCCCGGCCGCGGCAACCCAGCTCAGCGTGCTGGCGGCACTTCCAGTACACTTTGTCCCCCACAGCCTTCTCCTGCTTGTACAGGAAGGACTCCAGCACCAGGAGGCGGCCCCCGAATGGTGTCTTCAGGAACTCCAGGGTCTGGGGGGCTGCCAGGGAAAGGGGAGGGCTGGGTTAGCTGACCTAGAGCAAAGCTGAAGGCCACAGGCACAGATGAGAACTGGGGAGGGTGTGGGGGTCCGGAGTGGGGAAGGGGCCGCCTCCTCCTGCTCCCAAGCAAAAGCCTGACTCAGTGCTGGTTATTTTGAGGTGGTGGTGGATGTTTTTAGGGAGCTGAAGGAATTCTGCACATCACTGCAACTCCCATTTGGCCAGGCAGGGCCTGGTACCTGAATGTGATCATCGCACCAGCCTGGGACAGGCTCAGGATCAGAGAGCAGGAGGCTCAACTGGGAGCAGGACAGGACGCCATGATAGAAGCGGGGTGTGTAGGGCCTGCTGTGAGCACCGGGACCCACAGGGCGGCTGGGCAGGGGCAGCAGGCCTCGCCTCACCTGTGTCCAGCTTGCTGCACTTCTGTTCAGGCATCTGGGGGGCTGGCTGGACCACCCCTCCCTGCTCCTCAGCGGGCAGGATCTGCAAGGTCCTGGTGAGGGTGGTAGGGTCAGCCATCTCCAGGGAGAGGACGCAGTGCACTTCCTGGGGGTTGCAGCCCACCCCATTCTCATCTTGGGTGGAGGCCGTGAGCAGGACCAGTTTGGAGAACTTCCCGGGGGCTGCCGGGACGACGTCTGTGCCTGGTTCCGGGGATGGCTCCTGGCCAGCCTTCACACTCTCACCCTCCTGCTCGTTGGACTCGGGCAGGGGCATCCCGGGACCCAGGGCCTGTCCTTCGATCTGTGCTCAGCCCCCAGCAGGTGGATTTCTCCTACTCCCAGGCCAGGAAGCTGGAGTCCGGTGGTTACGTCCTGAGGAAGGAAGCAAAATCCCGTCAGTGGAGGAAGCCCTTGGGCCAGGGCTCTAGATACAGAGCTGGGAAGGAGGTGGGGCAGATGGGGTTGCCTCACGGCTCACTGGGGCCAAGGCTGGCGTGGGGCCTAATGGAAATAGGGACCCTGGCTGGTCCTTCTGCTCTGCCAGTTCCTCTCCTGGCAGCCTTGGGTATGTTACCCCCATCCAACCCCACTTTCTTCATCTGGAAAATGTACACAATAAACACCCCTCACAAGGGGCCACCAGAGTGACTAATGACTAAGAGCTGAGCCACTGCCGATGGGCCTTCCCACGTGCTGAGCACGGACAAAGGGTTTCCAGCTGCGTTTCCAGTCCCCGGTCCAGCCCCTATGTTTGGACAGCAGGCCGTTCTTATGGACCCAGTTATAGATGAGGACAGGAAGGCACAGACACCCATGATATACCTGAGGCTAAAAAGGGGGTCGCTGAGCCCCATTTCTGCTCAGATGCCTGGGGACTTGGCAGGACCTTTTTGGAAACTGTGCGATTCACCAGGATGCTGGGCACCTGGCTCAGGACTATGGGCCTGGCACACAGAGCCCTTTCCAGACGACAGCACCACATCCTGGCCTAGGGGACAGAAACCCCTTTCTGGGCTCAGGCAGACCCAGCCCCCGTCCTAGCCTGCAAGCCACAGGCCACCCCCCGCCTTGGGAGATGCCAGGGCCCCACCGTGGCAGCCACCTTGTGCCCAAGCAGTTGCTGTTGCTGCCTCGGCTGGTCAGGGATGGGGCTGAGGCAGCGTCTGGAGAATCACGAGGTCACCGCGGGTTCCCTGGGTTCTAGCGTAGAGAAGCAGAGAGGGCAGACAATGGGGAACCTGTGTGGGGGCCTGGGGGTGGTCAGCGGCAGTCATGGTGTTGGGGGGACACTGATTGTGAGCAGATGGTGGGGTCTTTGCCACCTCTCAGCCTGCAATCGAGACTATCCCTGACGTTTTTAGCGTCTTCACCCCCACCCCACATGTTGCAGCTCCAATGCCCACTGGTACCCCACTTTGCTCCAAAGTTTCCTGGCCTGGAAGCCCGGGCAGCTGCGAAGGCCCCATCCCCAGGAAATCCCAGGTCCCGAGAGGGCTGGCCCCACCACGCCTCTCCCCGCCCCAGCCCAACCCGGTCCTCCGTGCTGTCCTTCCGAGCCTGCTCATGCCACCCCATAGGGTGACACGAAGTACAGGGGACAGTGGGCCAGCCGGGGATCAGCTGCAGCAAAGACCTCGCCAGTGCCTCCAGAGCAAGGCCGCTCCAGGCAGGAAAGAGTTACGGTGGGAAGCCCGGCCCCCAGTGCTGACTGGCCCTGGCGCCAGTCCCAGTCCCTTAGCCGGAGTGACTCCCAGGCTCTGCGCTCTGGGGATGAATGGGACCGGATGCGGCTGAACGGGGAAGGAAGAGGATAAGGGCACGATGGGGCAGGGCCAGATGAACAGGGATGAATGGGAATAAACGCTGATGGATGGACCATGGACGTGGCAGGTTCCTTGACCCTGCACCCTCCCGGCTCCCACGAGGCCCCTGCCCTCTGGAGAAACTACCCCTAAGAGCTGCTGTGCTTACAGCCCGGCCTCCCTCCCAGCCAGGCCACTTCTGACAGTGGCCTTCCAGGCGACGCAGGCCGGCACGGCGACTCACACACTGTCCACCCCGCCAGCCGGTCCTGCAGGACACGGGAGTGCAGGCGGGCAGGGGCCTCGGCCCAGCGGTCAGAGTGGAAGTGGGGACTGAAGTGAGCTTGGCCTGACACTCCCAGGGAGCTGTACCCAAGTCACGGGAGGTGACAGGAGAGAGCCCGGTCCTCCTGGTGAACACTTCCCACTTCTGTTTAAAGGGATTCAACAGATCTGGAAAAAGTTCCAATACAAGAAAAGGCCCTGGCCACCGGCTTGTGGAAGGTCGATGACCTGTTCCCACTCTTGCCCATTGAGACTCTTGGGGGACAGATGTTGACCCACCACCACTCCACCCATTAAAGTCCACAGGCCTGCTGGGCGCGGTGGCTCAAGCCTGTAATCCCAGCACTTTGGGAGGCTGAGGCGGGTGGATCACGAGGTCGAGAGATCGAGACCATCCTCGTCAACATGGTGAAACCCCGTCTCTACTAAAAGTGCAAAAAATTAGCTGGACATGGTGGCGCGTGCCTATAATCCCAGCTACTCAGGAGGCTGAGGCAGGAGAATTGCCTGAGCCCAGGAGGCGGAGGTTGCGGTGAGCCAAGATCGCGCCATTGCACTCCAGCCTGGGTAACAAGAGCGAAACTCCGTCTCAAAAAAAAAAAAAAAAAAGTCCACAGGCCTTAGGCAACCGGGCTTTGTCTCCACCTGCCTGAATCTGGACTGGTGGGTGGGGAAGGGCTTGTGTGACCAACAGTGTGGAGGGAGGGTAGGGTACACGTCCGCAGGCCTCACCAGCCAGAGCCCCAAACCTGCAGGGAAGGCAGCTGTAGGAGAGGCTACCTGAAGGGCACTGCCAGATTCCAGGGAGACCACCTTATACCCTCCAGCCCAGCGGCCTCTTAGCTGTGTGCAGACGCGAAGGAGCCCGGGGACCCCACAGAACCCTCATCACCAGCGAATTCCTATTATTTTAAACCAGAAAGATCATGGGTTGTATGCTACACAACAGTAGCTGATACATTTGGCCAGTAAGGGACTCTACTGGCTTCCGGCTTTTTACTTTTGAGATAGGGTCTTGCTCTGTCACCCAGGCTAAATGCAGTGGCACGATCTCGGCTCACTGCAACCTCCACTTCCTGGGTTTCAAGTGATTCTCCCACCTCAGACTCCTGAGTAGCTGCAATTACAGGTGCCCACCAACATGCCTGGCTAGTTTTTGTATCTTATGGTAGAGACAGTGTTTCACCATGTTGGTCAGACTGATCTCAAACTCATGACCTCAGGTGATCCACCTGCTTTGGCCTCCCAAAGTGCTGGGATTACAGGCGTGGGCCACTTTGCCCAGCCGGTTCTGCCTTTTTGATAAATGGAATACTATACACAGTTATAAAATATCGGACATAAAAGCATTTGTGAGCTCCAGAGGACCATGTTACACAAAACCACATCCCCCAGACGGGCGCAAACAAAGGGCCTGTATCAATGAGGGAAACAAAAACCTGAAGTAGAAGGGACAGCAAAGGAGAATCATGCATTTTAAAACACCTGCACTGGCCAGGTGCAGTGGCTCACACCTGTAACCCCAGCACTTTGGGAGCCGAGGAGGGTTGATCACTTGAGGTCAGGAGTTTGAGACCAGCCTGACCAATATGGTGAGACCCTACTCTCTATTAAAAATACAAAAACTAGCTGGGCATGGTGGTAGGAACCTGTAATCCCAGCTACTAGAGTGCCTGAGGCAGGAGAATCACTTGAACCCTCGAGGTGGAGGTTGCAATCAGCAGAGATTGCACCACTGCACTCCAGCCTGGGTGACAGAGCAAGACTCCATCTCAAAAATAATAAACATTTGCAACATTTGATGTGCCAGACACAAGGGGACAAACACTGCCTCCTTCCATTTGTACGAGGTCCCCAGGGCAGTCAAATCATGGGGACAGAAAGTAGAATGAAGGTGCCAGGGACAGAAGGGATAGAACATGAGGAGTGTTTCCTGGGGAGAGAGTTGCAGTTGGGGGAGATGAAAAGGTTCTGGAGATGAACCATGGTGGCTGTAAACCAATGACAAGGAGACTTCAACACTGAGCTCAGGGAGAGCAGCTGGTCACAAAGACCAAGGGTTGCATGGTGCAATTTACATGAAATGACCAATATGGTAAATTTTAGGTCATGTATATTTAACCACACACACACACACACACACACACACACACACGCACGCACATGCCATCTGTAACAAACTATACACAAAACACTCCATTTCCCTAACATCAGTGAATGAGGTTCTCTATGCAAGGTACATTTCCTAATAACTAGTTACCCTTCCATGATTTAGAGGCATATTATTTTCATCTGATTCAAAATGTACCCATTTAGGATGGAGGGTTTTTTTTTTGGTGGGGCGGGGACAGAGTCTCACTCAGTCACCAGATTGGAGTGCAGTGGTGTGATCTCGGCTCACTGCAACCTCTGCCTCCCGGGTTCAAGCAATTCTCCTGCCTCAGCCTCCTGAGTAGCTGGATTACAGGTGCACACCAGCACTCCCGGTTAATTTTTATATTTTTTTAGTAGAGACAGGTTTCACCATATTGGCCAGGCTGGTCTTGAACTCCTGACCTCCTTATCTGCCCGCCTTGGCCTCCCAAAGTGCTGGGATTACAGGCGTGAGCCACTGTGCCCAGCCAGGATGGGATCTTTTAATTTTATTTTAGTGGCAGGATCTCACTATGGCCCAAACTGGAGTGTGGTGGTGCGATCTCGGCTCGCTGCAGCCTCTTCCTCCCAAGCTCAAGCCATCCTCCCACTTCAGCCTCCAGAGTAGCTGGAACCACAGGCGCACACTACCACAACTGGCTAACTTTTGGATTCTTTGTAGAGATGGGGTTTCACCATGGCCCTCAGCATTGTTCTTTCATTAAATTTTTAAAAAAATCTTTGGTAGGGGCCGGGCACGGTGGCTCAAGCCTGTAATCCAGCACTTTGGGAGGCCGAGGCAGGTGGATCATGAGGTCGAGAGATCGAGACCATCCTGGTCAACATGGTGAAAGCCCGTCTCTACTAAAAATACAAAAAATTAGCTGGGCATGGTGGCGCCTGCCTGTAATCCCAGCTACTCAGGTGGCTGAGGCAGGAGAATTGCTTGAACCCAGCAGGCGGAGGTTGCGGTGAGCTGAGATCATGCCATTGCACTCCAGCCTGGGGAACAAGAGCGAAACTCCGTCTCAAAAAAACCTTTGGTAGAGACAGGGTCTTCTTA